CGCGCTGCAAAATCGCGAGACAAACTATGGTCGACTTGAAAACAGTCCGGCAAGAACACGATTCCCTGGCAGATCGCCTTTCGTGCTAGATCAGAGACAATTTCTCCGGGCATTTAAATTAGGCAGGAGAAGTCAGACCTCTGCCAAGTCAGATAATCAATTAACCATAGGTAATCAGAATATTTATTATGTTTTTCGCTGATTTTTCTTTGCGAAAAGAATCCCGACCGGTTAGAATTTTTCGTAGGATTTTATAGTTGAGCAAATGATTTAGAAGGTACATTTTACGTTCACGTTTCATCGGAGACGTTAAAGTAAAAGGAATTGAAGATTTTTTTTAACACAGTGAATCGCACAAGCTTTTATTAAGGTATTTTTATTATTTAGATTTATTAGATTTTATTAGATATTATTATTGGCTTTATTTATTATTTAGATATTTATTAATATCTGAATAATAATTATTTTTAATTATTATTTAGATATTAATTAATATCTAAATAATGTTATTTTTAATTTACTTATTATTTAGATATTTATTTAGACGCTGTTTTATATCTATAAAATTTCTAGCAAAATGATTGGTCATTTTTGCCACTTTGGTAATTTTAATGTTGATTCAATAACTAATAACAACGTTAGCATTTAAATAAATAAAACAGAATTAAGATTTTTTAAATATTTAAATATCGATATGATAAATTGATACTTTAAATATCATCTAGGATGTATTAGGTGTGAAAATTAATTTACTTTACCTTCTCAAACAAATTTACCATTTACTTGTTGCCTTTACTTTGAGCTCATTCTGATAAAAAATTGTTTTCTGAATTATTTCGTGTTGTGAAACAAGTTTCTGCTGTACTGAGTTTCACTCAATAGTTGTTCGAATTTTTCAAATTTTTCAATTGCCAAACACGATTAACATCATGTAGAATATATTAAATATTCAGAAATTAATTCAGCACCTTTTTATAGATAAATTTATCATTTGCTTATTGATTTTACTTTGAGCTCATCCTAATAAAAAATTGTCTTTTGAATCATTTCGTATTGTGAAGCAAGTTTCAAGGGAAGTCATCGATAATTCTTCGAGTTCTTCAAATTTTCGATCTTGGAACTTTTCCTGATCGGACATACAAAATAATCATACTTATATAATCCAGAACGTGTTTTATAAACTTTGAAACTCAACATTTAGCAGATGTTCGATTCGATCAAAGAAACATTTTTATTATCACGTGCGCGTGCGTCTATTAATTCTAAATTTCAAATGGCTCATTAAATTCTATCAAAACACATGTCGCCTCTGGAAATCTCGCGAGCGAGAAATGAAATCCGGCGAGATTGCAGGGGAATCAACGTTATTTGCCAGTGCAAACAGCGAACAGCGCTCACTCTCTCGTCAGAATTCGAGACGAGCGCTTTGGACAAATTCAGCGACGAACGAACCAAGTTCCCGAAGGAAAGCCAGAAACGTTCCGATCGGACAATACCGTCAAGAGGATCTCCGAGGATAACTTTCCCGCAAAAATTGCCAAGATTCCTCCTTAATTGAAGAAACACCCTTGGTATTCTTGAAACTTCTCGACAACTTCGTCGCGGAACAAGAGAGAGAGAGAGAGAGAGAGAGAGAGAGAGAGAGAGAGAAAGTACAGAAAGCGACGTTTAAAAATTACACCATTCACCGGACGACGAGATTGAATCCATTGAAACAGAGTAAAAAAAAAAAAAAAAAAAAAATTCACCAAGGCTCTCCGTCGCTGTTTCGGTTATTGGCTGAGCACTTTAACCGGAAAAATTCGAACGTTTCAACAAGCTCGAGAGGGCAAGACATTTTACTTCGTCTCCAATTGACCCGTGGCTCCTAATTGGCCCTTGTTCTTCTTCTTCTTCTTCTTCTTTATTATTATTATTATTATTATAACTTAAGCCTGCTCGAACAGGCTTTAATCGTTCAATTTATCGCGTTCTCGCCAACGACGAGAAAAAAAAAAAAAAAAAAAGAAAGAGGGGAAATATAAAGAGGAAAAGATCGTCCACCGAGGAAACTGAAGTGGATGCGGCCATTTCGCAAATAATTTAAGATTAAGGCTTAAAAGTAGGGAGCAAAGTTTACGGAAACAGGGCTCCTGGCGGACTTGGCAATGGAACCGCACCGGAAGCGGCAGGCTTTACATTTTCACCGGAAATAACGAGCTGGACTATCTACGTGCCTCGACCAGTTACTTACTCCTTTCTTTCTCTTTTTTTTTTTTCCCTCTGCTTTCTCCAATTATTTTTCTCCGTCTCTTCGTTTCTTTTTTTCTTCTCTCTCTTTCTCTCTCTCTCTTTTTTTTCCTTGGATCGTTTTTATTCGGTTGTAATTAAGAAAGGGGACAGCAGAGTGTGTGTTTGTGTGTGTGTGTGTGTGTGTGAAATTGTTTAGCGGGGTTCTCCTAATTGGAGGGGAAAACCTCGGGTTCCGAGCGAGGATGACCGGTAACGCTGGCCTTCGATGAGACCGCGACAAGTTTGATTAATACCACACGCTGCCGGAAGTTCGCGGCAAATGGATTTTCGATATGGCCGCGCGCGAAAGTAGTCTCTCCGAATTAATTCTTCCGTTGACCCCCTCCATTATTATTTCTCGTCCAACCGGTGATTTTACTTCGTTTCTCGATCACTGACGTACCTACATGCCCATGCATGTGAAATCGTTCTTCCTGAGGTCTGAATTTATCGGTTATTAATTTTGTTATACCGCGTCAAAGAAGAAGAAAATCTTCTCAGTTTCGAATGAATTCTTCTCTTGACACTCTGTTGTTTCGTCTATAAATTTTTCTTTTTATTTTTTCCTCCCCTTTTCGCGACTGTACTAATACTGGGCTAATATATTAGGTAAAATCGTTTTCTCGTAGTTTGAATTTATTTGAAGATATCGATCATCAACCATAATTGAAGAAGAAATATTTGCTACGAAATTATGTATGCTCAGTATTCAGAAAATTTTTAGTAAAAATCGCAGCTTTATGATCAGAATTTTATAATTTTCTTGCAATTTTCTAACATATGTATATTGTAGAATAATATATAATTTATTAATTAATATATTAATATATCATATATAATAATGCATATGCACCTAGTCTAATAAATAATTGTTTAAAAATCAATTGTACAAGAACTCACTAAGAAACAAGATTTTATTTCATATTGTTCAATTATTATTTTTATTGTCTATGTTTTCTTTTCGTTTTGTTTTTTCTAACTTGCTGTGTATGTTTTAACAAAACATTTAACGATGATACTATTTTTTAATTTAAAAGAATTAAAAGAATTATAATACTCTCTGTAATTGAGCTCATTTCAACTTATGTCTTTTTAACCCGTTTATTTTTAACACCGAAATCGACGTCGAAGCCGCGAAAGTGAAACGAATATTTTTAGACATATCTTCTATTTTTTTTTTTTTTTTTTTTATACAACACGTAGTTT